AATATTTCAAATAGACTCAACCAAGTATTGAAATCACAGCACCATTTATTAAAATGACATCACCATATATCAAAACCACTGCACCGTTTATAACATGACTGCACCATATATCTAAACAAGGTTAGCTTTTAAAAAAGCTAGTAGCGACTCGCTTCGTAATTTTTTCCAGGGGTGCGTTTAAATGTAAAAATGACAGTTCTGTTAGCTGAAGAGACTTCAGCGAACATCAAAATAAAAGTGACATAAAGTTATGGAAGCCAGTTTCACTCAGTTTAACAAAGAGGAATATGAGTATATATGCAGATGCATGTAAACAGATAGAATGAAGTCCCTATGTCTATGCACATTTACTATATGGCCTTTTGACCTTGACCAAATAAATGTTAGATAGGTAGAATTCATAAAGATGTCTCTTTATACGAAGTTAAGTTGTAATATGATATTTAGTATTGGAATGAGTGACAGACACAAGTCCTAAAGTAAACACAAGTTGTCAATTAATTCAGCCAGAAAAGCCGGGATCCTATTAAAAATATAGGGATCCCGGGAATTAACCAGTCTAAGATGCTTTTCAGATAAGCCGGGATCCTATTAAAACATATAGGGATCCCGGGAATTGACCAGTTCAAGAATATAGTTTTCAGAAAAGCCGGGATCGTATTAAAGTATAAAGAGATCCAAGGAATTGGCCAGTTCAAGAAAATAGTTTTCAGAAAAGCTGGGATCGCATTAAAACATAAAGGGATCCCGGGATTTGACCAATTCAAGAATGTAGCCTTTGATATTTCCAATTAATTAGGCATATAATTATAAGTATTGTGATTTTTAAGTTTGTTGATAAATAGCTCTAAATATATTTATATCCAAAGTTTAATTAATTTAACTTTCATTACATACAATAAAAAAACTTAACGTTTAATGGCCTTTCATTACGACAATAATCAACACAAATATAGTTTAAAAGTTTTTCCTCTATATCTTATACGATCCCGGATCCCGGCCAGTCCGGGCGTCCCGGATCCCGGCCAGTAAATATATACACTAAATACCGGAAAGGATAAAATGACCGGAAAAAAAGGAAAAAGAAAAAAAATGCACAGAACCAGGTGTACACTTATGTTAATTAACCAAACGAAAACTTACTACAGAGGAACAGGTGAAATCGCTAAAGTCGCAAAAGTCAGTGTTTATATAATTTATTGAAAAGAATTCATGAAAACAAACATTTTTAATCATCATAATATCTTTGCGATCAAAACAATACTTGCTGCTTTTTAAATATGGCGTGAAAATTGAAGGTTTTTTGACGCTATGTAAGATTAAATTTGATTGGCTAAATAATTTTGGATCCTAGCCCTGATAGATAAATTTTTATAGAAAGCTGGAAGCCAAGCTTCGATTAAATTTTTGGATGGATTCGGAGTTTTAGGTTGTTTCTCAGTAAAATCCTAACGTAATACCGGCTCGCCGTGGCGAGCCGGCATTACATGACAATCTATCTGAACGACATCACCATACATGAAAATAACATCACCATCTATCAAAACCATAGCACCATCTATAAAACGACATCACCATTTATCCAAAGGACATCACGACTTGATAAGAGTGAATATAAGGCAGCTATGGCGTTCCATATAGTTTTGTCATTCTTATTTGTATATAAAACAATACGAAATTGATTGGAAACAATATTACGAAAATGTATTCTCATGATTTTGTCTAAATACCTAATGCTGAATGCACATGCCAATTGCCTTACATCTATAAACGTTAAAGATGCAGGTACTACCCAAGATGATATTAAATTTAAATCTATTTATAGCAACAGGCGATTGCACTTTCAGGTGATTGTACTTTCATATGAAACAAAATATCATTGAAATTGAAATAACAAACTGGCCAATGGCAGGAGGTGTAACGAAACCACAAGGGGATAAAAGAAAAGGAGGGACTCACCGTTCCATTTCGCAAGGATATTTTGAAAGGTTTGAGTTGCTTTTTCCAAATATATTATTTCCATTTTAGTATTGTTTGATATTTTTTCTTCATGATTCAAGTATTTCCATGAAATGTATGTCCAATTGTGTATGTTACTAAAAGACAATTTATGCAATTTCATACTATATTTGAGATTATTGTTATGTAAATTATAGGATATTATCTAAAATAAAGAAATGCAACATTTTTAAATGTTGGTTAACATTATGTAAATGTATTATCGTGCATTAGATATTTTAATACTGATCCGATAAGCTCTTATTAATTTTTATTAAACATCTAGGTAAATCATATCGGAGCTTTGGCTAGAGTTGTTATCACAATGTCTGAAAGGAAACCTAAGGTATGTTATTAAATTTTAGTGTTTGAGATTATTTTTTGTCACATGAGATGGCAGAATGTTTCAAATTTTGAAATAATTTATTTTAGTAAATTTTAGTAAAATAACTTTACACATAACCACAGGCGCTTGTCACATCATCAAATATTTTACACAACCTGTCTATATATGTATATTATCTTATTATAGTATATAGCCCATATAAAACTTTAAAAAGTTTGTTTCAATCACCTGTGCACATAACCACAGACACTTTGGGGTCAGATTCTGCCCCCAATGTGATACGCCCCTGTAAACACTCTATCAAAACTATTGTAATATTTAAACTCGAATGGGACATCCATTTCAACGATAAAACTGGTTTTCAAACAATTTTACATATATTACCATCAAGTCTCAATAAAGTACTTTATTGAGACTTGATGATGACCCCCAAGCGTCTGTGTTCTAGTGTACTTCATGTACACATAAGGGACGTAGCTCTAGGTAGAATTAATTTACAACGACATAACCATTAGACACAAAAACAATTTCGTTCAAGTAGTCAGCAGTCGGCATTACGTTCATTCTTCTTCGGTATACTGAATGGAAAACCTCGACTCGCCAGAGAAAAGAACGCTGTTCCATTGTTGTCTAAGCCAGCGTTGGTGCGTTCGTGCCCAGTTAACACAATTTACGCGGCGACGTCGCCTCAAAAACACAAATTATTGCGCACAGTTTGAGCAGATATACGGTTGATATGATTACCACAGGTGTCAGCAGCAGTAGTTATCGCAGTCTGGAAGCGATTGCGCAGGTGTGTGATCCTAATATAGCAGTCTCGGGCACGTGTCATGACGCCCTGACGTCCACTATGTGGTCGATCTTCTGTACGGCCTGTTGAAAACGTTGGTTAAGGTGTCGAAAAGCACGGGTAGAACATCCAATTTTCATAGCGGCGGCATAAATCGTAATTCCAGCATTCAACGGACTCCACTGAGGTTTTTCGACATGATGGGACTGAAAATATTTTTTCCAGATAAATTTACCATTTGATGTAGGTTAAGACCACTAATCTTTGTGAAAAATTTCACATCATTCGCTTTTCCAGAATATATTTTCAAATTGTAAAAAATGACCCAAAATGAAAAGCGTTTAAACGCTTTTCACTCAAATCGGGCTAAGAAAAGCATAATAATACTATTTTCAATTCGTTTCAATTCATATTTCTTAACTATCTTGCACATATTTTCTGTTTAAAATGTCCCAGCTGATTTAGGTAAGAAATTTAAATGTTATGTTTTTAGGCTTTTAAGCCTCAGTGGAAGTGTCTTTAAGCATGCAATTCGCACGTTCGCGTAAATTTTGCGGACTTTTAGGCATATCAAAAATATATAAAAAAATTTCAACGTCTTTTTCTTTTCGTCTTGAAAGTCTAAAAATTTATAATGAAAAGTTTCACAAAATATACACGAAGCTACTGGTACGTGTATGCACGTATGCACGTGAAAATCGCGGTCAGCTGGTTTCTCCTGCAAAACGAGTGAACTCCGAGTTTACTCCGAATTTATTTTAAAAGACACATATATCGTTCGCCCGAATATATGTAGCTCATTTGACATTTTGATTTTTTAAAAATAACGCTACATCTCCATTTTATCACATAAGAAAGTTATTTTTTGTTCAGTATTTTAGAGCATTATGTTAGTGAAGTAAAGTAAAGTAAACTTGAATAAAAACTAAGATACAGTCAAGCCAAGTAAAGATGAGGTAAGGGAAAGTAAAGTTAAGTATGGTAAAGTAACTGTATTGGAAGGGACAGTAAAGTAAGGTAAAGCAAAAGGGAAGGAGAGGAAAGGGAATGTAAAGGTAAGTTATGGTAGGGAAGGGAAGGGAAATTAATGGAAAGGTTAGGTAAGATAAGGTTAGGTAAAGTAAAGGTAAGTTAAGGAGGAAGGTAAATTAAAATAGAATTAAGGTAAGGAAAGAAAATGGAAAGTAAGGTAAAGTAAAGGCAAGTTAAGGTAAGGTTTAGTAAAGGTAAGGGAGGGGGAAAGTAAAGTAAGGGAAGGTAAGATGAAGGTAGGAAAAGTTAAGACGGAAAAGATTAAGTAAAGGTAAGGTAAGAAAAGGGAAAGTAAAGTAAGGTATAGTAAGATAATGTTTAGGAAAGGGAAGGGAAAGAAAAGGAGGTTAAAGTAAATTAAAGGTAAATAAAGAGATAGGGATGGGGAGGGAAGGGAAGGGAAGGTAAAGTAAAGTAAAGTAAAGTAAAGTAAAGTAAAGTAAAGTAAAGGACAAGTAAAGTAAAGGAAAGATAAGGGAAGGGAAGTAAAATAAGTAAGGATATACATATATGTATTGTTTACAATTATAGTTTAACTCGTAACATTTTGACTTAGTGGAATGAATTTTCCCTGCATTTTGATTTCGGAGCAGTCCATTCACATTCTAAGGGATTTCAATTGCAAAATACAAAAAAATCACCTAACAACAGTATAGAGTCTGGATAGACAAAACATATTTTGGGAAGACTGGCCCTGATTCAATACTGGTGACAAACGACGGATCAACTTTTTGGGTTCCAGTATTTTAAAGGTTGTTAAAATTATTTCATAATACTCAATCATCTCTATATTGTTGAAATTTTGGGGCAGGACAAAGTTGTAAAATGGAGGGCAAAAAAGAATTGTATATAAGGTAAAATAAACTTTTGTAATATTAATCCCTAATTAGTTTTCTTTGTTTAAAGTAACCTGAAAATATTTATACCAGGGGAAAAGTCTGCCTCAATGAAGATTGACTGGTCAAACAAAATTCGAGCCTTCCAGTTATATTACCCTTTCATTCTAAAAATACAAATTCCAGGTCAAAAGGTTTAAGACCTGAAATCAAGTGGGTGTATTATTTGTTTTAATATTTGAGTTATAGAATTTAAGGGTGCTGGCGACAGTATTGACTTCAATAAATACTTTAAGTACAATAAAAATATTTTTGAAATGACATTATTCTGTCTTTTTAAATATGCATGTTAATTGTTTGCTTTTTTTTGGTGGAAAAATCATTTATTTCGTTGTTATGTTGTAATGGATGATAACGAAAGATTCAAACTATTCTACAATTTATTATAAATCATTTAATACAATGTTGTTTTAAGACCAGAGCTCAAGTGAGAAATGACCAGGTACAGAGAGGCATGATCATTATATTATAACATAGCATTAAATGAATATCAAGTAAAGGGAAGTAATCCCTATTAACTGTACAACTTTAAACATGCACAGAGATTCTTGATCTTGAATTCATAACATTTGTGCAAATTATATTTGATGATTTTCACAGTGGGAAGAAAAATTTTTTTATTAAAAAAAAATTAAAATTAAAATTTCACACTTTTAATATTGAAGAGACTACTTGTTTTAAAGATTCCCCCCTCGTGGTACTTCAAATTTCATTTGTACTTCAATTCCGACGACAGGTGTCAACAGGGCTGTTGAAAGCAACTCAAAGCTAAAATTGATAAAATAACTTTGGAGTTTCTAACGACAGTCGTATTAAAAAGAACAAAAAAAACACTTATTTCAGAGTTTTAATTCTTTCAGTTGACATATCACCATGCATCGTCTCTAATTTTTACTTCGTTTTTACAGTATTCTACATGCAAAACATTTGAGTACCTTCGAGTAATAACTGTAATGCAATGTGTAAAAGCAATGACAGTCACTAGCCCGAAGGATAGGTTAAAAATCCAGCGTTCGTAAGGCAGCCTTTAAAAAATCCTTTTTTTCCCAAATTCCTAGTGGCTTCTTTAAGCTGAACTCGACAACGATAATTATGGCATAATGTCTCTTTAGATATATTTATTTCAATATCAATATCTTAACTGTTTTTATTTTAGGATGGTAAAAAAGTCGCTGTTGAGGAAACAAAAAGAGTGGAATATGAGCCACAAAAGGTAGGAATGAAATGTTTTTATGGCAAAAAGGAAATAGATATCTAAATTAATTTAGAAAATCTAGCCTATAATATGAAGAATAACATATGATCATAATACCTAAATGTAGAATAATATGTATTTGCATTACACGTAAATTAAAATTGTTAACGATGTTGTACTTCTTGCATATTGATCAGACAGGCATTATACACCGTTTACACCAGTGCTGGAACAACACCCCCTGTAAGTAAAGGTCACCGTAAATTAATCCGTCATTCCCGCGCGCCTTTTATGAATGAATTGCATTCTTAGAATGACGTCATTTTGCTTTTAAGAATGAAGTTGTAAATTCATACGCTTCTATAAGAAAAAATCTCATATGAAAATATCAGTGTTCGTACTTTCTTTCCGAAATATGATTAAAATATCATATTATGCAAGAGCGCGATACATTGTGGTTCTGATTCCTAGGCTGGCCAAATAAAGTTACTAAACAGTCTTTCGGATAAGACTTAAACCCCGTGTTTAAACACTTGACGCGCTAAAGAAGCAGCAGAAGCTTCTGGAATTTGGGTATCTTTCTGTATCTGTATCTTGCACTATCCTCAAAAATCTAAAATGTCTGGACGCGCCCATATGAGAAGCCGTGTATAAATAAACTCTCACACACACATACACACACATGTGCGCACACACATACACACAACACACACATACACGCACACACGCACGCACGCTCGCGTACACACACAAACAAAACTGTGTACAGTACAAGTTTATGCTAATAGTATTCTCTTTTATGTTATAACATAACACATCTGGATCAGTACTAGACAGGAGCTAAATGTAATCGATAGTTTATCGATTAAGGTCAATTGGACGAAATTTACTCTATATCTATAGAACCTTTTTACGACGCGGTCCGTTGTTATGAAAAAAATTGACCGGGAAGTGGTATTTTCTCGCGCATGCGCAATCTGCGTAGGGCAAAAAAGAACATCGTCCTACATAGAAATGTAGTAGAAGTTCGTAGACAATTCCGAGTTAGTTTAAGAAAAAAATAGAAAATCATATAAAATAGCTTTTAACAGTTAAAGCAAATGGCCAATTTGCCTATTAGAAGGCATGGAAAAGACGATTGTTTAAGAATTCCCCCGTACGACCACGTTATTGTTGTAAAAAAAGTGTGACAATATATACATTGTTATGTTGTATGGATGATAACAAGATTCAAACTATTCTACTATTTATTATAACCATTTAATACATGTTGTTAAGACCAGAGCTCAAGTGAAAATGACTCAGGTATCAGAGAAAGGCATGACAATATTTAATAACATAGCATTAAAATGAATATCAAGTAAAGGGAAGTAAATCCTATTAACTATAAACTAACATGTAAAGAGTTTATCTAATCTTTGATTATCATAAACCCATCTCCCTTTGTTTTTGAAAATTGAGAAGCTTCATAAACATTTTGGTCCGCTATAAATGTAATTTATTTCTGAAGAAAAGCATTAAGCCAATAAAAATAATGTCCATGTCAAAGACTGACATCAATTAAAATCAATTTGAGATAAACACATTTAAATTATTATGAATAAATTTGTCCTTACGAAAAATGCTTTCATTACTGTCAATATAAACTTTTTTGTACTTTTTCTTGTTTAAAAAAAGCACAATAAACACTACTGCAATTTATGCCTATTTGTTCAATTGTGTATATATCATTTTAATTTACAACACAAGACTGAAAATTATCTTTTTTTGGTTTTTAACCTTTGCCCCCCAAGAAGAGTTACATAAGCTTCTTGGATAAAATGTTTTGGCCCAATTTTTGAGAGTTATTTGTTGATGCAGGGACTTTGAGTGAATTAAAGGGTCAGATTAAATCACTCTTGCACTGGCATGGCTGGTGAGGTTTAACTGGTGTGAAAGTTTACCCTGGGAATCTTGCTGTGTCTTGATTACTACAAATGGCCCCTGTGTAAAATTGACGTTAAATCAGTGTTTAATTAGGGAAGGGTCATTATCTTTGGCAGGTAATAATCCTTCATTAGATGTTGCCTGTTTTCTGATATATTGACCAAAACCATCAGGTGTTTTCTACAGAATAGGAACGACTGTCCTAATTTTTCTTTGAAATGAACGGGATTCCCCAAAGATTTTTCCCTGCTTGAATTCCTAAAAAATTTTCTTCCTAATGTTAAAAATGGTTTTAAGGGGGGCCTTTGATATTTTATCAAATTTTCTTTTGGGAAATGCATTTTTTTGTTTTTCCAAGAAAGTGACCTTTATTTCTTAAAATCTGTTTGTTTGGGGTGTTAAATTCCCTTTTCAAAGACATAGGTATAAATTCCTTAAATTTTTTCTTTCCCATTAAATTTCAGTGGGAGAATAACCTAAATGCTTAGCGGGGGGTAGCAACGTAAATTTCTAAAATTTGCTATCAAAGAGGGTTCTGTCCCATCTTTGAATTGGGCAATTTTTTTTGAAGGCAATGCTTTTTTTACTTTCTTACGCAATGATTTCAACTAAGCCCAAATTACTTTGGGGATAATTGAGGTGGATGACCTTACATGCTTTATTGTCCCATTTAGTTGTGAATTCTTTAAATTTTTGTGATGTGTAATAACTAGCACCATCTGAAACTATTTTTCCTGGGGAATACCATGTCTTGAAAACCAAGTTCTCATTAACTTAATAATAGTGCTACTGTTTGTATTTTTAATCATGTCAACTTCAAAATAGTTGCTCATATAGTCGCATACTAACAAGTAGTCTTGGTTTATCTAATGTAAATGCATCAGTACCTATTACCTGCCATGGGTATTTAGGGATTTCATGTGAAACCAAGGGTTCCTTTGAATTTGACCTTTGATGCTCTGCACATACAGAAACACTGTTGCACTTTCTGCACTATGTCTTTGCTAATGTTAGGCCAAAACATAGAAATTTGTGCCCTGCGGAAGCTACGTTCTGACCTGGGTGACCTTTATGTAGCAAATTTAACATTTCAGATCTTTAGACACTTAGGAATAATCAAATCTTTGACCTTTGTAGATGATATTATCTACAACAGTGAGTTCATCTCTATAATTCCAGTATTCTAGAACTTGAGGATTGCAATCTTTGCGTTTTTCAGGCCAGCCTTGAAGAATGATTTGTTTCAAGGTCATGAGTGTTGGATCTGACTCAGTTTTTGAACCTTACTTCACGTAAGTTTTTGATCTGTGTATGGCAAGTTTTTTGTTATGAAGTGAACATGCATATTGGGTATTTTCGGAAATTTCTGGATAAGTATCTGGCAAATATTTCCGAGACAATGTGTCAGCAACGGGTATTTGAGTGCCTGCTTTGTGCTGCAACTCAAAATCATAACCATGTAACGCTAATAAGAGCCTTTGTAATCTTGCCGGGGCACTGTATAGGGATTTTTCTTAACAACGCTGATCAAGGGTAAATGATCGGTTTTCTACAGTTATGTGCCTACCGTAGATATATTGTCTGAACTTTGTCATGCCAAATACTATGGCAAGAAGTTCTTTCTCAAATCATGGCCCATGACCCTTTCTGAGTTGGTCAAGGATTTGCTTGCAAAGGCTATAGGTTTTCCATCTTGCATTAAAGTAGAAGCACAGCCATACTGAGAACTGTCAGACTGAAGTACTAGTGCCTTATTTTGGATCAAATAAGATAACACTGGGCCTGGACACTCAGTAAGTATGTCTTTGACTTTTCTGAAATGCTCGGAACTTGAGGAGCATCCCAGTGAAAAATGGACATCTTTCTTTAATATTTCTGAGAGAGGATGAAATGATCTCGGACAAGTTTTGGGGCATATCTAGATAGATAAGTTATCATGCCAAGTATTGTCTTAAGCTCAGACTTGTCTTTAGGCGCTTCCATCTCTTGGATAAGCCCTACATTTTTCGGGGTCTGGTTTCAATCCATCAGCTGAGAGGAATGTGACCAAAATACTTAACCTCCCAGAAGACGCAAACAACAAGTTTGTCTTCGTTTAACCAAAATGCCCTTTTGGCGGCACCTATCAAGTAAGTTTCTTAAGTTTATGTCATGCTCTTTCTCGAGTTGAGCCATAAACAAAGAATGTCATCTACAATGACACTACAACCAAGTAAAGCCTTCTAAAGCACTCATGCCATCTTTTGCTGGAAAAAGATCTTGGCTGCATTTCAGTCCCCATGGGAACATCTTAGATTTACCTATAACGACCTTGAGGGGTGTTGAATGTAGTTTTAGGAATTATGAATGAATTTATCATCTAGAACAACGGACCCAGTCCTGATTTTGCAGTCAAGTTTTGTGAAAATTTTTGCAGACTTTAACCTGCGGCAAAATATTCATCTAAAAAGGTTTTTTGTAGGATAATGTTTGGCCTATGGATTGCCTTATTGAAAGGTTCTTTAAGGGTCAATTACAAAATTCTAATTTATCAGAAATGTGGCTTATTTGACTACGACCTACTATTCACCCAATTTTGTTGGTGTGGGTGACCTTGGAATGAAAATTCCCCAAGCCTTTTCCATAGGCATCAAGTTTTCCATTTTAAAAACCTTGTCTTACTGAAGAGCTACAGGAACGCGGTCGGGGAAAGGAATGAAAATTACTGGAGAATACTTGGATTCTACTTTGATCGAACAAGCAAACCAGGTTAAAATTTTCCCAAAGCCATGAAAAACTTCAAGGAAAAGTCACGGCTAAAGACAGAATTTTTATTCATTTTGCTCATTCTGGTCTACGGACATTAAAATCTGAATTAAAATTGAAGTCAAGGCATGATTGTAAACCTAGGATTGAGGGTTTGTTTGTTCTCACAACATAAAAAAATTCTACAACAAGTTTTGTGCATTTCTTCTTGTAAAGCTGCATGGGAGATCTACTACTCCTAGAACCTTAAAAATTTCAGTGCCTGAGTAAAGCAGTGGAGTTTGGACAGTTGGCTTCTTTAAGGGGGTATTGACCTTGAGGGATTTTGAAATCTGCCTCAGAAAGGATGTTACAGCATGCCCCTGTGGTCAAGTTTAAACTGTTTAAAATGACCTTTAGAGCCCACCTGTAAATCAACAAATACCTTGTCCCTTTGAATGTGAATCAACTGCACCAATACAAAATTCACTGTCACTGTTACTGTCACTGTTATTGTTTCCGGTTTCAATTTCATGCACTTTTTTGTTTGACCTACACACAACTGCATAGTGATTCCATTTATGGCAGTTCTTGCATAGTTTTTTCCTCTTGCCAGACATCGATCTTTGCTGTGATGTGACTGTCCACAATTTCCACATTTTGTTATATGTTGGTTTTGTCTAACTCTTGAATGGTGATTGTGTTTCTTTCCAGTCTCGTTTTTGGTGTTTTGACGTGGAATGACGTTTATGATGAATGTCATCAATGTTTTTGGAATTAGTCATATCACGTAGTTGAGCCTGTGCGTATTCATGTGACTGTGATATCCTGACTGCTTTTTCAAAAGAGTCAATGCTTCGCCTTCCGTGATTAATTTTTTTCACGAACTTTTTCCGACGTAATTCCAAATAACTATCTGATCTCGTATGGGACATCATCTCTGTACCCCTGCATCAAAAGCGGCAATCAATTTGCTAATGTTTTTTAGACGTGTGATGAATTTTTTTCTATCGTACTGTTTCCCCCCTGTTTTTCATTGTGAAATTTGTATCTAACTAAATACAGGATTTGATTTTTTGGTTGTAGATGTTTTTGAATTGCCATCCGAAAATTGTCCTTTTATTGATTTTCCCCTTTGCGAGCTTCAGTTAATGTAAGAGTTATATCTGGCGGCCTCTATCACCAATCCAAAGTAATAAGTAAGTAACTTGTACTTCTTTCTTTTTCTCTTAATGCGCCACTAAATATAAGTTCTGCATGCTGCCTGAACTTTTTTGAACTCCTCCATAGGGTTCTGACTGTTCCCAGTTCATTGTTGGTAATGGGTACACCATTTAAATCCATTGTAGAGCTGTAGAATTAATTGATTTCTCTGAAGAAAGTTAAATGTTTGTGATGCGCACAATTTAATTTCTTTCCAGAATGCTTGTTAAATCCGATTCCAAATATTTTTTTTATTAAATTCCTTTTATTGCAATATTATTCCTTTAGTTTACTTCTGACACCATGTTATGTTGTATGGATGATAACAAGATTCAAACTATTCTACTATTTATTATAACCATTTAATACATGTTGTTAAGACCAGAGCTCAAGTGAGAATGACTCAGGTATCAGAGAGGCATGATCATATATATAACATAGCATTAATGAATATCAAGTAAAGGGAAGTAATCCTATTAACTATACAACTAAACATGTAAAGAGTTATCTAATCTTGATATCATAACATACATAATATATATCTATTGGCAAGTAAAGAAGTCAGTTTATTATATATTTTTTTTATTTTTTCATATCAAAACTAAAGAAGTTTTATAATGAGGTTCATTATCATTGTGAAAAGTCTTAACACGTAAAAATGCATTTTTAGAGTTCAGTTATAATTGTATCCTTTATCCTACTTGACTTTGCTGCCAAACAGAATTTTTTTATCACAAATATATTTCAATATTTTTTTTCTCAAAATCTTGAAAAGTTAAGATTGCAAGTGAAATAACACATATTTTACCCGGTTCCTAATATAAAACATATAAATGCACGTCACATTTTTTTGTATCTTCACAAAATTAATGAACTGATTAATGAATTGATAAGATTGGTATAAATAAAAGTTACTTAAATTACGATTTTCATAATTTTACGTGATCATTTTTAATGATACGGCCATAAGTTTATAAAGATTTGTTAAGTCCATTTGTTAAAAATAGATTTCATGGAAAGAATTTGGTACAAGGATAATTCAAAATATTACCATACATGACCACACCTGTAAAAATTTAAAATAAAAAATGGATTTCACGGATAAACTTAATACATGGAAAATTTCGAAATGTTTCTATAAATCGCCATATCCATTGACATTTAATGGTAATTTGTTAACAATATATTTCACGGACAAACTTTATATAAGAAAATTTCAAAATATTATCATACTATAGTCAGGTATGTAATATACATACCTGCTATAGTTAAACTTCATTCGCTCGAACTCATCGCCTAGTCCCGGCAAAATTTTCTAATTGTTACAATACATGTATTTGAATTAATCGATAAAGGTACAAATTTAGACAACACCGTAATAAAATAGCCAAACTTATACTATAAATATATTACATAATTGATGCTTTCATAACTAGAAAGTAATAAGGAGGTTATGGATATTTTGTTCCATAAAAACTGTGGGAATTATCTCTAATTTGTTTTGTGTGTGTGACACTTTTACAACTTTATACAAGTTTTTGTTGTCTGTGTTTGGGCCGGAGTCCTTTATGTACAAATAAAAATATTGTTGTTGTATTTTTCTGTTGTTGAAAAAATGCTTATTTTCTTATCACGTTTGCAGAATTCAGGAAAGAAACACAAACAAGTAAAAGAAGCAGATGAAGGTAAATTATTTCAATTTGCCTATATGGTCACATTTAGCGTTCTATGAAGTATATATGTTTTATTGATGTCGTGTATATAAATGATTTATATATTGTATTAGGTATTCGAAAATTTATATTAAAAAAATTCGCATCATATTGTATAAATGGTTTATCATATCATAAACACCATTTTAAGCATAGAATTGTATTTTTATTAGTTAAGGATAGGATCAAATGGATTTAAATTTAGAATAATTTGATTTTGTTCTTACTTTTCGCGTTTCAAGTGATGCAGTTATTTAATAACATTCTAACACGACCCGCATTTTTTCCCTATTGAACATAGAACAACCGAAGCTGTTTGACGTTCTATATTTAGACATGTGACAATCATTATACACGTGACGTAACCACTAAAAATGTGACGTGCTGAAAATAAGTACGGAAACAAATCAGACCCAATTTAGCTTAATATCAGGTACGGCAGCATTAATTTGTTTATGTCGTTTAGAATCGAAATAATATATATCCAAATCAATGATTTTATCGCTGGATAACACCACTGTTTGTCGTTCTGACGCGCATCATTATACATCACTCGGCTACGCCCTCGTGATATAATTCCTCGCATCCGAAATCATAACAGTGATGTTATTGGACGATAAAATCACTGTTTGGGATAATTTATTTCTTAAATAAAATTAGAAGACTTGTTAGAATTTTAGCTCTTACGCGAAACTTATCATGGGTTTGAATAATCAGTGCAACTATTTATTGTTTTCCAGATCATAAAGAAAAAAGGAGACACCGCAGAAAAGATGCCTGATAAAGGATGAACGTCAGTTTCGACAATTTGACATGTATATACATCACATGTACAAAGTGAGATTGACTATCATATCACCAGATGATGTTTTAATATTTCTGTTTGACATTTGGTAAACTGAAAACAAAAGGACCGAATGATGATTTTTCCTTAATACTTGCAAAAGGGAGGAAATTTCTGAAACTTGTCCGTTGTACATTTAAGGAGCATGAAATTTTGTTACAGAGTAATATTCTTGTATTTTGCTGACATCATAAGATGTCGAAACATGAGTCGTATAAATAAGATAAATATTGATAATGAATGTTTAAAGTGTCTTTATGATTATTACAACTGAAATATGATATTTGTAAATTGTTTTATTATAAATATGAATAAAAACTTTCATGGTCCTTAAATAAACAGATTCAATTTATGTCATGTTTCAATTGAGTGAATTTAATACAAATATATAACAATTAATACAAATAATTACACAAATGGTTGTTTTTGTTATTCTTGAAAGATTTGAGCCGTGTCACGACAAAACCAACATAGTGGGTTTGCGACCAGCATGGCTCGTCTTGATCCATGCTGGTCGCAAACGCATTATATTGGTTTTGTCGTGACGCGGCTCAAAATTTTATGAAGAAGAAGCTTTATTTTTTTACAAATAACATAATAATGCCGTTATAGCTCGTAGTAAAATGTTGGTAAATAAACACATGGATTTTAAAATTGGCATTAGTGAACCATTTCAATATAGTAAATAAAGTGCAATGTGTCCCTATAAGTAAACATAGTAAGATGAAACATGAAAATGGTTATGTTAACCTGTCATGTGCTTGTAATTGTGTTTCCTTTTGTTTTACCATGTAGATATAAATATAACCTTGCCTGTATGAAAGCCATGGCTGTCTTAAATTGTTCTTTTTCAATTAATTTAACCATTTGGATAATATATAAGTTCGACAATATATGAATTGAAAACACCTTATTAAACTGGAAACCATTATATAAATACAAAGTACAATATATGAAACCATACCGTCATTATATGAAACCGAGGGAGTAATATATAAGTTGATTTTCTCGAGTATGCAGATTGCTATATTAAACAGAAAAAAAAAACCAGAATTTTTGAAGAATGTCCGAAACGGCAAAATTGAAAATAATGCCGGCTGGTTTGATTGAGCTTGTTCATGGACAGCACATGAAAGAGCAAGTTACCGTCCACATTCCCTATTACAAGTAGCATTCCAGTAGATTATTCCAGTTTTAAAATATTGTTGTCACCACTGTTGTGTTTAGTGAATCTCAGTATAAACAACAGATGTCCATAAAACGCCTGACTATTCTCAGCGCGCAGAAAAGGGGCATTACTCTGTAAAAAGGTAACTAAGAGTTATCGGACCTGTGTTCATCATGACAGATAATCAATGAGGATAAGTGCATGAAGTTTAAACCAAATGTTATGCTGATGCCCGGGTGAGTACAATAGCTAACCCTCTATAAATAGTTAAGCTAAAAATGAAACTGACAAACAATATGAAATTTTGGATGAATTGATAACAAATACATTTGATGCGTAATGTATGGTAATAAGATATATCATGTTACATCAGGTAAAATAGTAAAATGAAATCATATGCGGCCATAAATTTGAAGATTTGTTAATGCCATTTGTTAAAAATAGATTTCAAAATATTACCATACATGACCACACTTGTAAAACTTAAAAATAGATTTCACGGAAAAAAGCTGAATACAAGGAAAATTTCGAAATGTTACTGTATATGGCCATAACTGAAATCAGTATCCCACTGACATTTTATGGTAAGTTTTGTAACAATAGATTTCATGGAAAGATTTTTTTACAAGGAAAAATTCAAAATATTACAAGATTTTATTTTTATGAAGCCCGTGGCATATAGTAATTGAACTGTCTGTCTGTCCGTAATAAGTTAACCTTAATCGTAAAGTTGGATTTTTCTTAACTTCTACGTGTACCATTGTCTTTATCATTAATACACATACTAATCAACACAAGGTGCATGATCTGGGCAAGAACATAACCATTCCAACTTATTGCATTTTTCAGCACTTTGAAAATGGGTATGGTTAACCGCAAAAGTTCGATATATCTGAAAATTTATATATTCTTATGTCTTCATATTTTCCACACTTATTTATAAATACAAAGTACGTGACATTTCCAAGTTATATAACTGTCTCATGCTTTGTACCCAATTATCTCCCTTTTTATCACTTTGACAACAGGGCCTTGCATTTATTTAATGATATCTTCAATATTTGGTAGGTGAATGAGTGCCTTGATGATATCTAAGGATAGATTAAGTAATAAGACTAGAACCAATTTCCAAGATATGGAGGCTGGCAGCACCGCCTGACTTAAAATTGAAATATTCCCAGTTGGAAGACTAGCTTGTAATTGTTAGATTAACATTATTTTTAAGGTATTTTTATCTTTTTTCTATCTCAAATCCATATATACATTAATAACATAACATAAGATAACATAACTTTTATTCGACAATAAAATTGTAACAAATAAATTATAGTCGATTTACATCAAATAGTGCAAACTATATATGTTTACAGAGAAGTTTATTACATGACGAATGTCAATCATGTTAAAATAAAATATGTATTCGGTAATTATATGTAAATAACATAATTATTGTAAATGTATTGTCGGGGCGAGAACTCTGCAAGTGTGTATAAGTTATTTTTGTGCGAGTTGTTTCCCTTTCATTACAAAAATTCTTATCCCGCTTATACAGTCAAAACATGTACCAAACTGGTACCGCAACGTAATGTGATATTTTACTGTACTTTGGCTGCTACCCGTAATGTAACTGTGTTATAATCGGAAGCTACTAAAATGAAGCAATAAACTATTTAATGTTCCAAATTGAAACCTACAATGTAAAGAAATATCTTGTTCCCGTCAGTCGAATTAATATATTATTACAAAAAGGTTTAATACATGTAACTTTATTTCCGCAAATTTGATGGAACTTACTTTTATGTTCGAGTGCTGGAGACCAAGTAAAATGAGGGTACATTTATCGCAAGTCAATGACCAGGAAGTCACGTGTAGGTATTTCCATTTTAGCTCTAGCTCCCCCCCCCTCCTAAAGGCCACCCCCCCCTCCTAAAGGGACCAACCAAAATATGCAAAATTGATAAAGGACCATTTTAGGTTAAAGTTTGCTGATGATCCATCAACTGGTTCACGAGTACAAACCTTTTAAATGCATGCCTCCGGCAGAGACCCTAGGAATGGCTGAATAAAAGTTCTATAACGGAATGATTCAAAGTATATCTACACATTTCTCCATGAGAAGTCGTTAAATGCCATTTCTGCCAAAAAAGGAGTCGATCAATTTTCTTTGAGGAAAATTCAGATTGTTTAAAATCCTTTGGCCTGTTAAGCGACCATATTCCCCATACTGATAGTCTTAAAAGCTGACCCTTCTGTAATAGAGAGCTACAACTATCATGTGAGAATTTTCAGATGTGTCTAAAATATTTCGCCTAATGAATTTTTATGGACTAAATCAGAACTCAGAAAAGTTTATGAGAAATCATACTCAAATCGGCTACAAACTAATATATGGATGCAATAAACACAAAATACACCGTGGTATAATAAATTAAATTA